ATAATAATAATAAAAACATTTCATAAGTGAGACAGTCTGCACTTTTTTAAGGTGGTAAAATTCTCATTAATATCTCTTTTTACGAGCTCAACCTTTTCCAAAAGCTTGTGCAAAGTCGTGGTTTGAATTTTGCTGTTCCTAAGCATGTGTCTGCGATTGATGTAAAAGCGAGTTTTGAGACAGCTTTCTGGAAACTCGAGTCACATACACATACTTGAACATTTTCTGGATCTCGCAGCCTCAACTCTTCGATCTGTGACGTTAAATTATATTCATCGATCGAGGAAATAATGAACCATTTGGATAATGAAACACTCTTTCGCAATCTGTTTACTTGGGAAACAGAGAAATCAACAAGCATATTGGGGAGGATCGACGTATGTAGTAGGTGTCGAAGAAGTAGAACTCATGACTTCGAAGGCTACTGGGCACGTGAAACTGAACATGGAAAGGTTATAGAAAAGCTGAGCTATAAACATATGCATACATTGTTGCGACCTTTTTTCCCCACTAACTGCTACTAACGCTCGTTTTTTTTTTGTTGTTGTTTTTTTTTATAAGAATATTGTTTTTCTGACCGAGGCTGAATATTCTCATTTTTCTGCCGATTTCAGAAAACAGAAAAGACACACTTGAAAATCTGTGGGAAACACTCTTGTCGTTGAATATGCGTCCTCAGAGAGCAACAAAGCTGTAATTTGTAAGATAGCGTTTGGACTCTATTCTTGGTGGTTTGGTGGAGAGGCGAGCTGAGCGCAAAGTAAAACTGAGGCAACCTGTTTTGATGGGTGCAATAAGGAGGTGCAATGTAATTATTTGATCTGAAACTGGGGATGTTAATCATCAAATAAAACAACCAACAACAGGAGCGTACTGTTTAAAACATCCCATTGAGTATAACTGAAACGGATAGGATTCAGTTCAAGGTAACTCTTTTATTTTCACAGCCATGCATGCTTTGCATATCTCTATATCGATGTACTTTACTACATTAAAGCCCTCTCTCTGTAACTTCTTCCCACGGCATTGCTAGGCGGGTCGGCTCCTCTGCGGTGTACACTGTCGGTTAACAATGAAAAAATTAACAATGTAAGGTCTATATAACTCCAGCTCAGTTTCTTTCTTACCGCTATTTATTCAACAGTTTCCTTGTAATATCCGTTATTTCCTTGGTAAATAAAGAGACCATATAAAAAGGACGGGATGTTCTTCATAAAATCGGAGTTAAACCCCCAAAGCTAATTTAAAGGAGACCGATCTGGAAGTGACTGAAGCTTTGTTCCTAAAGGCAACCATCTTCAAACATGCAAACAATGATGGACGACAATACCAGATCATTTCTTGGCGTGTAACCCTTAAAAATGACTATACCACTAGCCTACGAACAGGCTCCCGGAGAGCCCGAACGAAGCGAGGGAGCCTGTAGACATTCTGTTGATGCCGCCGTTCTATGATACCAGCTCCTGGTATCATGATGTAATTGGTTGAATCGCCGATTGTTGACATCTTTGAAATGAATATTTGACAGATCTTTGTAAAATTATACGACTCCAACGGTTCGTTACAATTGTGCATTTGCCGTTCTCTTTTAAGTTTCAGTCTCTCGACCTTTCGTTATTTCACAAGTGATTTTGAAGGGTACTTAATGCTCTGTTACGAGGAGGAATTTTAAGTAGAAGCTAGTGGAGTGGAGTCGTTTGGCTGTGCTATAGGTCAAAGGCATCGTTTCCGGACTTTCCGCTGTTTATGTGCTTGTCGCTTCGCAGAGTTTGACACCTCTATCAGGTGCTTATAATTTCTTTAGGCTCATTTCAGTATTGCAAAATATGTTTTAAGCTCTCTAAGTATTGGCTCTGGAGGGACAATGTTAAGTTTGAAATATTCCGTGAACATTTTGCTTACTTGCACTCTATATTATGATGCCCGCCCCGGCTATTTGATTAGCTCGATTAGAACTGTTTGCAAGTACCGAAAATGTAGCTTCTTGACAGGTCTAATTACCTCAATGACTGATTTGTTACAGGCTTATCACCAAGGGCGAAAAGGCACATCAAAAACAAAGTCTACAGGCTCCCCTGTCCCCGTCCCGATCGCTTTGCTCTCCGAATTCTTCTGTTTCGCGCTCGCCGAAATTTTTTTCCGTCCTCGCCAGGAGCCCCTATACCACCGAAATTATTTGCATTTCGTGCTTACACCCAAAGTGAAACCAAAATCCTTGATTTACACAACTTAGCGATCGAGACGACTGGTATCCCCGTTTTTTTTTCTTTTTTGATATGGGAGTTCCTCCTGGGAGGTACGATTCCATGCAGCAACACCTATCAATATAGCTTATGGTTAGTCCCATAGGATTGCACTTTGAATACCCACCTATTGAACACAGCAGATTCGTCCCTTGCATTGAAACATTCCATAGTTTTTTCGCTCGCCCGGATCACACACGTACTTGCATTTTCCGCTCACGCCATGGTAAATGTAACACCCAAGTTGCTCTTCCTCTAGATGAATAAAATATTGGTCAATTGTTTTATGGAAAGAAAACAATTTTTCAGACATGCATCAAGTTTAGAGTTTTTCCTTTTTACTATTCCTAATTGCTACTAGTTTCCTCCACTCCGATCTGGTCCGTACTTAAAAAAAATTCTTATCCCATTTAGTATTCCTAAAAGGCCATTTATTGTAATGACTGGTTTTAAGAAAAGAGTGCGTCCCTTTGCACTACATGAGATTTCACTACTCCTAACTCCAAGCCATTAACAGAAAGAAATTAAATTCGAGAAAAGGAAGATGAGGGCCTTGGAGCAAAAGAGAAACCAACATTCCTTTGAATTTTTATTTCGTCTTCTTTGGAAATGGTCAATAAAAAAAGCATACATCAGGGTAAAATTTCATTAACATCCTTTCCATAAATCCAGACACAATATACTCCTGGGAAACTACCAGATATGATTTTTATTGTGATCTGTTTTCTTGTGTATGAGTAAAAGCGACATTTGTCGACATCCAAAGGAAAACCTTTCTTTCTTCTATACTCACCCGGCTGTTTAAAGCACCACTTAGTGTTAGGAACTGTCGGGTCCCAACAACAAGATTTAGCCAAACATTCCTCCATTGTTATTCCGTAATAACCACATTCTTTGCGCTCAGAAGGAGCAACAGGGCAGAGTCCGTCAGGAAGATCTGTAATTCGAAAAGAGACAGAAGTAGAAACGTTAATTATCAACTGCAAGATTGTCAAGTTATGTTATCGGCGAATATTAAACAAAATTTCCAAAGACAACCACGTTGTTTAAATGTTCAATATCTTTTAATATACACTTTATTATATGGCTGAACTGGTCCGCGATATAAAAGGGAATTCTGACTGGTTCCTTAAGCAGTAAATTTTGATGGACCGCTTTTCCAATTCTTTACACAAAATACACAGTTTTTTTTGTAGAATTCTTTTTGCCTTCGATTCATGCTTGAAGGACAATTTCAGTGAAGTGTTCTCAAAACCGAAGCGAGAAACGTAAATAAATTATAGCTTAATGTGGCTTCCTATATATAGTTTTACGATCGCACGCGCGCTGAGGATGAAAGCTCGAGTAATCTACGCGCGCTCGACGGAAAACGTAAGTACTTTTCGACATTTTAAGGCGTCAACATGAGCACAAAAAGCAAAACTGACAGCGGATTTTCTCGCGTTTCCTTCGGTGAAATTCCGTAAAATTTGGCAGACTGGTAGTAAATATTTTACTTAAGTGGGAGCTCGTTTTTCAGGGAAATCTATAGGAAAACTTTTCTTCACAGCGCAAAAGACATAAATTTGCAAAAATTGAGAAAACTGCCTTACAAACCCTACTTTTTTCACGTTTAAAATTCGTATCCCGCAGGATGAGATGTGTAGTGAAAATTTTGGGCGGACGATTTCACCGAAGGAAATTCAAGAAAATCACAAATAAAGCCATAAAAAAGTAAAAAACACATTTGTTTGGGCATTAATAATTCAAGACTAAAACCCTAAATTTCAACAAAGTTAATAGTGAAACACTATTTAAGCATTACGTTTTACATGTAATAAATTTGAGAAGACTGGGTGTAAAAGCGAATTCAAAAAAAGCATTCAAAACATAACACTTGCGCGCGCAACGTCATTATGATTACCCTATGCCACCGCGCGCGTTCACCGCCGAGAATGGATCGCGGGGACAAATCAATTTATCAACAGATTAAAAAGAGCCATTACAGTAAATACTTTTTTTTAACTAGCTTGTTTGGTCCTTATTGGAGAACGATGATATTAAGGAATATTGGTTCTTTTTTTTTTTGCAGGTTTATGGATCTCGCCAGCAACTCGGTCCATATACCGGCAAAAAAGAACTGGACCAATATTTCTCTAATACGGGCCTCAAGCGAGAGATTATGAAGGTAAAAGATAATCTCTTGCCTCAATAAAATATAGGTAGTTTAACAGATACTTCGCGAAAACCTCTGCGTTCAAAATAGAGGTTTGATAAGACCAAACTCCGACTTTTAATAGTGATCCGACTGAAATCTTGTTATACTGCCAAGGTCCACTTATCTCTAGGTGCGTGTTCATTACAAAAGGAGGCGCAGAGTTTTCTTTGAATCCAAACCAAACTCTCTTAAAGACATGATGTCCTTGGTATGAAGTACAACAATTTAGTCGCGTCAAATTTCTTATAAAACAAACGTATTCCCGTACGTACGTTTGTATTTTCTTACGAAGCAGAACTTTGCATTTGGATCACTGTCGTCCCAGCAGCAGTCTCTCTTCAAACAGGTTTCTTTATCTATTCCAAGCCATCCGCATTCGTATCGGTAACTGGGATCCACATCACAGCTTCCAGCTAAAAATTAATTAAAAGAAAGATAATATACAGTATGAAATTGAGAAGGGACAAAATACTTCTAACGGTAAGTAATAATTTTGTTAACTTATCCAAGACAAGGACATAATTAACTCAAGTCAGGTGGACATTCCAGATAAATAATAATGATAAATAAGTAAAGTTAAAAAGATTTATCGTCCTTTGAATTACTAAATGAAGAATAATTTTGTGATCGTCCCAGTAAATATTGCTCTGTTTTTTTGTTGTTGTTGTAGTTGTTGCTCTTTTATTACAAACTGTTACCAGGTGTAAAAATAGAGGAAAACAATGGGGCCATTTTATTAGAGACTTTTTATGATAACAGCTTCATGTCTTTGTTTGTACATGTGGAAAGAGAAAATGGAAGGACAATTTTATAATGTACGTAAATAATATCATTTCCACTTAGTACAGCTACTCTGCATTAGGTAATTTATCGAGAGATTGGTATTATTAATCACTTTTTTTTTTCCCGAAACGCTATCATGGCGATATTTTTCACCACTTGAAACATTCATAGAAATAAAGAACGCTTCACTGCCTAGTGTGAAAAGCACAAAAAAATTATAGAGCAACCTTTGATCACCAAGGCATAACACAGAGATTTTGATATCGTGTGGCATACACCATTAAACATTTAGACAGAATTTCCTTTTCCCGAAACGCTATCATGGCGATATTTTTCACCACTTGAAACATTCATAGAAATAAAGAACGCTTCACTGCCCAGTGTGAAAAGCACAAAAAAATTATAGAGCAACCTTTGATCACCAAGGCATAACACAGAGATTTTGATTTCGTGTGGCATACACCATTAAACATTTAGACAGAATTTCCTTGGGCTTTCTGTGTCCTTTTCTACAGGTCTATATTTTCAGTTTAAGTCTTACCTTCATCCTCGACAGCTGGCTTTCCAAACACAGTAACTGTTTCAATAACTAACAGCAATATCACGAGTTGTATTTCCATGCTGAGCTGTGGGTGCAAGGGAGCGAATACATGTTATCTTCTAGTTAAAAAAGAAGATATTTCTAATTATCGAGTGAGGTTTTGTTCTTTTAACTTTGCTATTGCCTGGTTCCAAGCCTAGGATGTGAAATAAGCAGGGTTTGTTGTGCTCTTGGACCGGCAATAACCCAACACGCAGAACAACAACAGCAACGACGAAAAACATTACGCGCTTGCGAGACATCCATCATAAATTTTAGAGGTCTGGAAGTACGTTGGTTGATACTATATGATCCTCAAGGAGCGATGAGACATTATTGATTTCTTATATATATTCAGGTTTATTTTATTATGTTGATCGAAAATGTCATGTCCACCCTTTAGAAAACAAGAACAAACTCGGCTAACCGGCTAACTGTAAAGATTAATATTATTGGTTCTGGACTCCATTACAAAACTCTTGAGAAAAAAGCACCGTGTTAAATTGGTGATAATGCATAAAGAAGATTTGGAATATCGAGATTTTAAAGTATTCATGTACTAATTATATTCGGAATACGCCAAAATGAGTACTCACTTTATATCCATGACCCGACGCTATTCCAAAAAGCATGTTCGGACTTACCCCTTTTTTGACTATAAAATGATTGATAGCAAAAGTATTTCTTTTGCAGTGTAGCACTGTTCGAGAGCTTGGCTAACTTACCTGCAGAGGAGGAGAGCTTTGTTATAAATGTCAGTGGATTGTGAAACAACAACACGTGGAACACCATCTTTCATTGAGCAGCTGCGGATTTAATGTCCCCGAATAATACGGCTTAAAAGACCGAAGCCTTAAATGAATCCAGGTAAAGTAAACAATTTTACGGCTGTTAAAACTAAAATGCTATATATGTACGGCGGTTTTGTTCTTGTAAACCGGAACAAAGGACTCTACTTGCAGCATAATAAGAAAAAACCCGCCGTACCAAATTTGGAATGGCGGTTTTTCACACGGAAAAGACGGTATACAGTCAAGAAATTTCACAACCTACCTTAAGCTGACAAAGAAATGAGCTTAAAAGGTGTATTCCTCCAATGAGTACCCCCGAGCTGTTTCGCTGTAGCTCTGGTTATTGCCTTCCGTGTTTAAGTTCTATGCGCTCTGATTAATTAACGCGCAAATTATAAGAGCTTTGCCACGTTTAGGTTAATTTACGTATTTGTTTAGTTGAATTTTAATACCTTGTGGACAAAAAAAAGCTCAGTGAATTCAATCTAAATCTGTTTTCATGATATTAAATTACCTACCTATCTCAGCTTTATATCTTAATGGTCTCTTGTTTGAATATTGAAAACGTTTTTAAGATTTTATTTGTGTTGGTTATATTAAACAGAAACAGTTCAAGGAAACGTTAAGCTTGCGCGAGACTATATTTAAAAACTAATCATGAAATAACAATGTGACTTCAGACTATCAAATACAACCACTGCGGGTGAAGTGGAAAAAAGACAGAGGCAAATTTACCACACGAGGGATCCTCTGATGTTGCTTCCCGTTGGGCAAGTCGTGAAGGCAACGTCCGCACTAGGCTGGAGAAATTTTTAAAACGCAGCTTTATTCAGTCTACGGCTTGGCGTACCGTCCACACTAATCGGTCACGAAAACGGAGTTTTGCGTAAACGCTCTTCAAACCGGGGAAATTCGAAAACGCCGGCTTTTCGTGTGGACGGAAAAAGATTTTAAAAAAGGAGTTTTTCGAAAACGATGTAGACACGATAATCCTGTATTTCCCTGACCGAGTTTTCTTCAACACAAAAATGACCGGTGATTGTTGCGTTTTAAAAATTTTTCAGGCGTTATGTGGACGGAGAACATTTTCGTTTGCAGAGTGAAATTCCTCCGGCGTGATGTCACGGGGCCTAAACATCAAGAGTAATCATGCATCTTGCTCTATTGAATATTGAATGTTCTTCTCGTTTATGCTACGAATGGGGCATTGTTAAAGGAAGAAAGAAAAAAAAAATATCGTAAATCTTTTAATTTGCTGGTCGAAAATACCAGATACTCAGGAGTGGTTCATTTTCAACCTAAAGAAAGAGGGTTTGCTGTGCATTTGAATATTTACTTGATAAGGGGTATATATATTCATGCAGGATTAACTGCCATCCGGCCAACAGAGACAATATATTTTTTATTATTTTTGTACACTTAACAAAGCTGCCTCGGGGAGAGAGTTGTCTCTGGACCCCAAGATCATTTAAAAGGGACCTAAGCGTGAACCGAAATGGTACAATATTCTGGACGAAACGCGCAAAAAATAATATATAATATTAATGGTTCTTTATTTACATGAATTAGTGAAACTGCGAATTTTACTGGTTAGTTATTACAGTAATCTAACTAAATTGAATTCTAACTCGACTAGCAGCAACTTTCCAAGCGTTTAAAATTAATTATCGCGCTAATCAAAATTTTGAAGCACGACGATCTACTTAGATGATTCACTTCATTCGAGGTCCCTGCCTTCATTAATATAACTTTGGTGAGGTTCTGTTTACCCTACAATGTAATCAAGGCTTTGTTCCGGGTGGCTCAATAATTCAGCTCTAATTCTTCAGCATTTTAATAGATCAACTTGAAGGAAGTTCGGTAGAAACCTTTCAAATACTAGGGGTGGCGAATGGTCCTTTAAAAACCATGGTTTCGAGAATTTTTCGTCGAATTTCAGGGGTCTCGCAGTCTCGTTTTTTAGCGGTTATGTGCGTCTCGCAGTCTCGATTTTTCTCACAAAGCTGTACGTCTCGCAGTCTCGATATTTTTCAAGGCTAAGAAAGTCGTTATGAACCGATTTGTTTATTTTTTTTTTATAAAGTTAAATAACATCACAACATCTTAGAACCTGAACATCTTGAGTTCGCATTTAAAATACTTTAAAGTCTCGGTCTCGCAATTGAAGAAATCAAAATGTCTCGGGCTCGCAAAGAAAAGCGCTAATCTCGTCGTCTCGCAAAGTCTCGCATTTACCCTCGCCACCATACTTATCGATTAAGCGCACATGACGTTAGAATTCAAAAGTTGCCCCAAGTATCTCATTTTGGGTTTTTTGTTTGTGAACAATTGTACATAATAATAATAATAATAATAATAATAATAATAATAATAATAATAATAATAATAATGAAAATCTTTCAACAGGGAGCCCACTTCACATACATGTGGTTTTCAGTGGGGCCCTGCAAAAATAAAATTGCGGCAAAAGCTAAAGAAATAGTAGATTAAAAATAATAATAGCATTTAACCATTGTGCTAATAGAAATATAGAAAACAGTAAAAAAAAAAAAAAAAAAAAA